TACGCTCCAGACACGGATGCCATTCTGATACTCATTCAGACTCAACTTTCAGATATAGTTCAGATACGCTCCAGACACAGATTCCATTCTGATACTCATTCAGACTTAACTTTCAGATACAGTTCAGATACACTCTAGAACCGGATGCCATTCTGATACTCATTCAGACTCAACTTTCAGATACTGTTCAGATACGGTCCAGTCACAGATGCTATTCTGATACTCATTCAGACTCAACATTCAGATACAGTTCAGATACGCTCCAGACACGGATGCCATTCTAATACTCATTCAGATCCAACTTTCAGATACAGTTCAGATACACCCCAGACACGGATGTCATTCTAATACTCATTCAGATACAGTTCGGATACGCTCCAGACACGGACGCTATTCTAATACTCATTTTTTCAGCTTACAAGTTACAATTCATCTCTCCAAATGGCATCTTTAAGCCCATTCCCTATACCATCAATCATCACATCACCGAGTGCAAATTTATTGGTACTCTAATGTCCAATCATCTTCCACCTTCGAGTCACGAATGGCAAAACTCGCCAATCTAACTCTTCAGGCTTAAGAAGATTGAACAGGGGCAGCTGTTGTACCAAAAAAATTTCCCTCTCATTTATCAATAATTTTCTCACAAGATCTCATTTGGCTCAAGACCGTATTAGGGTTGATCAAGTTCAAGACACCTCCTTAAGCACTGATGACCAGAATTAGGGTTTGAGATTGCACAAGGATATTAGAACTTACAATACCCCATATTACTTTCATGGATCATTATGGACCCCCAAGATTACTCGTGTCAAGTTTCAAGCCTTGGATCACACTTTTGATCAGTCAATTGAACAATTGACCTAAAAATCAGCTGTATTAGGAAAAAAGTGAACCATGGCCAATTTACAGTCAAACCTCATAATTGTTTATCCACATCAACATTTTAAACTCATATGTATCATTTGATCAAGTTTTGACCACAATTCCTCAAGAGATTTGATCAAATCCCCAAAAAGGCAAAATGGTCAAAATTAGGGTTTTGACTAGGAAAGGGCAATTTCTGATTTTTAACCCAGCAAATGGTAAATTGGTTTAAGGCATGATCTCAAGAATCCAATTGAATCATTTTTACCTATTTACATGGTTCAAAACATTGCAAATCCATTATATTGACAGATGAACTTTGCGGTCAACTCATCAAAAGTCAACTGTATACTGAAAAGTCAAACTTTAACTTTTTGGTCAAATTCAAGTGCCAAAGATTACAATTCATCAAAATATGTCAAAATATGAAACTTATTCATCAAGAAATCAAAAAGTCAAGATTTCATTTTGAAAAGTCAAAATTTCTAAACCTAGAAATTTTGCTAAGTGTTGAAAATTCATATTTTTTTCATAACTTTGAGCCAAATTTTCACCATGATGCAAAATGATTCAAGAGAAACTTCCAACATGAAAGTTGTAGATATCCATGAAATCTACAACTTTTCTTCATACAACTTCTTCAAAAAGTGCTTGGATCTCAAGTTATAATTTTATGAACATAGGGTCATGAAACTAAACACTTAGTGAAATTTTGCCCTAATTTGACCAGGATTTTGACCTAACTTCATGACACTTTTTCATATAGTTCCAAGGGGAATATTCAAAATAAATTCGAAGATGGGTTGTAGAGCACATTTCAAGCTTTTCAAAATGTCAAATAACTCCCTTATATCGTTCTTGAGTAGGGAGAATCGAAGAGATGAAGTTAGGGTTTTGTCACTTGAATTACAAGCCATTTTTTATGAACACATGAACCAAATCCATGCTAGGCTGCATAATATTTGCTTTGAAGGCCTCAAACTTGTTTTTCATTCAATAATTAAATGTTTACACAGCTGTTAGGGCTTTGATCCAAGCAATTGAGCTATTATCCAAGTTGCATTTCCATTAATGGCACAAAGTTAACATTGTCATTCTTGTAAAGCAAGATTTTTGCATAAAGTTCACATTGAGCCTCTAAATTGTTCCCTCTGATCACACTCCATCCACAAAGTCAAAAGCAAGCTTGTTTAAAGCATAACCACTCTATCTTAGCAAGTACACTAGACTTTGAAACTTATTTTGTCAAAAAATCACATGTTTAGCTTAAGGATGCAAATTTGAATTCTGATCAACTAGAGCATCCCAAACTTGTTGCTTATAAATAGAGTCACTATTTGTGAGCTAGAACACGAGAAAAGCACCTGAAATACACCAAAACTCTCTCAAATCAGAAATTGCCCAAAAACTCCTTTGTTGCACAGTTTCTGACCTTGAACCTCAAACTCACATTTCCCTCGTGCGTTTCTTGGCCTTTTAGTTTCTAAAGCTTCCTTGCATCAAGGGTAACTCATCCCTGTACCTGTTTCACTTCTGTAACACCATTTTCCCTATCTTCCATAACCAAAAACAGAGAATCACAGTTGGACTTCTCCAGACCATTCCAGCCACCCTCAGCTCAAGCCAGCCATTACATTAGCTTCCTAGAGGTCTAAGGAATCTAACCTGATCATCAACACTGCCTGAAACAAGTTCAAATCATTTCCACGATTTCCAATTTTGAGGTATTTTTCTTGAACTTCTATCTCATTATCTAGGCATTGTTAGGCTTGCATTTGTGAAGATAAAATGTAGACATCATTGCCCTGAAGCTGTACATGTCCATAGATTTCATTTATTTTGATTGAGCTAGGAGAATTTTGAGTTTTAACTTTTTGAAATATTTAGGTCAGAATTTGGTACTTTTAAAAATTCTCATTCATCTTTGATTTATAGTTTATGATATTTATATGGTTGTATTCGTGTGACAAAATGGAGCAATTTTCATGTTTACATTTTTGCAAATGGTTGAGAAATGAGCAAGTTACAGATCCTTTGGCTGGAGGTTGAAGATGAAGTACAGTCAGGGCGCGTTTTGTGTTATGTATTTATCATTTCATACAATTTAACGGATGTATAGTCACCCCAGTGGTAAAGCGCGCGCCTGTTCACCCCATGGTCCTGTGTTCAAGCCCCAGCGTGACCATTTTGTTATTTTTACATATTTTGACTCTTTTTTTTTGTTTGGCAGGCGCTGGGCCCTTTGGGCCTGGCTCTTTATTTTGTTTTTGCTAATTAACTTCCAGCCTGACTTTTGGCACCCCCTGGCACAATTGTACTTATTTATTTATTTATTTCATTTTTATTTTTAAATATATTTTCTAAAATACTAAAAATCATAAAAATACAAAAAAAAAGATATATTTTATATTTTGACTTATTTTATTTTATTTTTCCGTAAACAAAACATATATTTATTTACTATACTTAGTTTATTTTATTAACTAAATCTTATAGACTTAATTAATATTATATTATATATTTATTTTTCTTCACACCATTTAAAATACATTATTTTAATATAAAAAAAGACTAAATATATTTTATAATGCTATAAATATTTTCAAGATAAAAAAATGCCAAAAAATAAATTTCTTAAATTTATTTTCTTTTGATTAATTAATAGAATTAGGGTTTTCTTTTAAAATCTTTTTCTTAATAAATTCAAATTTAATTAACTATCTTCCTTATTTAAATTAGGTTAAGACAAAAATATTTTTTATAAAAAAAACAAACAAAATTCATTTTCTTTACATTTTACATCCTTGTACATTTATTCATTTTTATACTTTGTATTTATGTAAATTCCTTGTATATTCATATCAATTCAATATGGTTGTAATAGACTAATTAGGTTTAAATTCTTGCAATCCCCATTTACAAATTGTACACCCCCTCCCTACAAATGTTGTAATAGCGTAGTAACTTTAAATTTCGCAATTTATTGCTTTTATATAACATGCTAGTAATTAGGATTTGTATGAAAAGAATAAAATCAATCAAATAGAAAACCCTAATTAAAGACAAAAACAAGTATGAAAACAATACACTTACACACAAGCACCCCTAGGGTAAAATCCACTTGGTTGCCTTACAAAATGGCCATATTACGCATGTGAGGTATCTTAGCAAAAACAAACGAATACAAGATCATAGCCCCTCAATGACGCTATATAAGTTGCCTTACAAATGATCTTAGTCCCTAAAAGAGAATGCTAAGATGCCTTGCAACATTCCTAATCATGGTTATACGATGACCCACGCCCGTCCCATTTATATCCAAAGATAGGGTTACTTACCAAATCAATGGTAAGATAACAATGTTAAAGGAAAAGGAAATGTACAAGAAACACTTTTGAGTAGGTAGAATGCTCCTAATTACTTGCTCAATTTCAAACAAACATCCTTGCTATTTTCAAAACAAACACCTGCACATTTTAAAACATCTTACAAACTTGAAAATATTTTCAAAAGATCAACATCTGTGTATACATTATTATGAACGAGAATCATTACAAAGATTGCCTAAATAATGGCCTCTTTACAAAATACTTTCAAAAGACCACACAAAGCACAATTTCAAACCAAAGCGAGTGATCTTGCAAGAAACTAAGAGCCCATGGAAAACCATGGATGAAAATGGTGTTAATACCTTCCCTTTTCATAATCTACCCCCCGAAATCAAGAAATAGTCTCAAAGGTCTTTCATGTGATTTTTCACCTTTCCTTTTGGATAAAAGAAAAGTCGGTGGCGACTCTTGCTAACCGCAACATTTGTGATCAAACGCAAAACCTTCAAGTCAATTCTCCAACCATATCACACATAGTATTTTGCAAACTTATGTAAATGCATTTCATTTTATTAGTAGTATATTTGTATTAGAAATTTATTTGGTGAATGTACTATGTTATAATGTTATAGACATGTTCTCATACTTGAATAAGCAGCAAAATCTAAGTGTTGCAGAGATTATCTAAGTGTTTTACACTATACATCATCAAATTTGGTCCGCAAAAAAGGATTTTTAACTCCATGCTTTATGTATCAAAAAGTGTGCATAACTAAATTATTTACCCGTTTCCCATAATGCTAATCATTGGCCTTGCCCAGAAGCAAATGCTTGTTCTACGGCCTCCTCTTCCTCATCAGAAACAGTTTGGTCCCTCTCCACTTCCTCCCCTGCTATCGTGGTGTGATTGACAATTGGACCTTGCAAAACATGATGTGTCACTCCAGGGATAGGGACAAATGTGGATTCCTCAAATGTCGGTGATGTGTCAGTTGTCTGAGACTGTGATGCTGCTTTGATTTTCTGAGGCAGTGGAGGTGTTTGGGCTGTAAGAGGCAGGGAAGGTGTTGCAGTTGTATGAGGCGGTGGTGCTGTTGCGGTGGTATGAGGCGGTGGTGGTGGTGCGCTGGTATGAGGCGTGGAGGATCTTGTGTTCTTTGACGCATGCTAGAAGTGGTGCTTTTGTTCCTTGTGTCATACTTCAATCGAGATGTGTTTACAGCTAGAGCCCCAGGTGGCATATGTCGTGTACGGCATAACCTATCAATAACTCTTTTTAACACAATTGGCATTAGCAAGAATGCATCAAAAGATATTAAATTGTAAAGAAACTAAATAGTGAAAGTTTTAGTCATCTTAGGTTTCTTACTTATTGGTGCTTTCTTCTTTGACCCTTCTCCCGTCATTTCAACTTACACCAACCACGAGCCACGGAAATCTACATGAATCTGCAGCTAAGAAATCAAAATGAATCAAAATGGGTGGCAATACAATTGTGTAAACTAAAAAGGATAATCATCATTTCATGTAAATACCATAAATCATAAGATGCAAATCAACCTAGTGACGCAAGCTCCAAGATATAATGACAGTAAAGAATGGAAAGCTTAATAACGAAACCAAAATTAATACCCATAAGATATCATAATACAATTGATATCCAATTCCAAAATAAATTCTCAAACATCAAATACAAAACAAACAAATCATACAAAACATACTACATGAACAATTTCACTGATAAATCACATAATTAAAGCATACATGGTATCATTTGTCACTAGTACTAATACCAGGGTCTATTATAAACTAAAACTACAACTAATTTACATCATTGTTCTCTCCATATTGAACAATTGGATAATTTGTCACTAGTACTGGCTCAACATCATCAATTAATCCTTCATCAGCTAAACCACATATTTGTTCAAGTTCTGTGATATGAACAACTGGTGACATTTCATCAGATTGATAAGACATTTCATCCTCGGTGTTATCTATCTCCATATAACCCCTTGGTTTTGTGGTGATTGCAGCACACCATCCACGCATGTTTCTACAAATATCTGGATATGGGACACAATACACCTGTTTTGCTTCTTGTGCAAGAATTAACGGGTCATATTGATGATAACGTTTATTCATCTTAATGTCAACAATATTGTACTCGTTATTAAGTCTTGTGCCACTATTATTTGTTGGATCAAACCAAGAACAATAAAATGTGGAAATCTTGTTGCTAAAGCCATGGTATTCCAATTGAACGATACGTTGGATGATACCGTAAAAATAATCTTTTCCTCTATTTGTAATTCGTTTCACATGTACCCTACAATTAGTATTCTTTTTACCACGAATCCATTATTCAGTGTGAAACTTGTACCCATTAACAAAGTAGATGTGCCACGACGTTGCCTTAGGATTAGGACCAAGAGCTAATACCTTCACGTATGGGCTAGGTGTTCCATTTCTCCCATCATTCACCTTAAAAAAAATATACATATAACCATAGAGAGATTACATTGACAAACTACATTAATGTGAGAAGTAAACTTACATATTACTTTAGCCATGAAGGTAATTGCTCGTGTATAAGACCAGAAGCATCTTCCTCATTGATACAATGATATTGTATGAACAATCTGACACCAAATATAAAATTTATGAAGTATTTATACACAATGGTTGAGACCAAAGAAATTGTTTTACAAAATTTACATACTCGAGCTATGGTTTAACCTCATCACAATTGATTAGGACATGCATGTGAGCAGATTCCCATTCCTTATCAAGCACCCAATAGTCCCAAGGCTTTCCACTAGGACGACCGCATTTATTAAAAATAGAAAGTGTTGTTTGTACATTCTCATGATATGATCCAGGATCATTTCTAAAACTTGTACTTGGCAACAAACTAACGGTCTTGAAATAGTGAGAGCAGAAATATGTAGTTTCACGATGCAAGTAGGCAGTGCATATTGAACCTTCAACCCTGACTTTGTTTTTCATTGAACGTTTGTAGTCTCCCATCAATATAAGAGTGAAACAATTAAAAGATGTTATTTCATTAAAGTAATCTACAAAAATTACACATTGTTTACCTTTCAAATGGATACATCCAATGATATTATACAAGACCACCAAGGATTGCTTCATTAGGTAGGTGAATCGAGAGATGTTCCATTGAGTCAAAGAAACCTAGTGGAAAATTATTTCTAGCTTGCATATAATGATGGGAATGTTATGTTCCAACCTAACAAGGTCTTCCAACTTCAATGTATTACAACACAAGTCTTTAAAGAAACTACTTAACTCGGTTAGTGGCTTCCATATCTTACTAGGCAAGGAACGAAAAGAAATTGGAAGTAAGCACTCCATGAATACATGACAGTCATGGGATTTCATCCCCTTCATCCTACCTTTGGTGACATCATCACACCTAGAAATATTTGAGGCATAGCCATCAGGCATTTCTAGTTCCTTAATCCATCTACAAACTAGCTTTTCCTCTTCGGATGTCAACGAAAATTTTGCCTTTAGCTTAGCCATCTTTCCATTAGGTAGAGGAAGCATCTCTAAATCCCCACGTAAATAATTAAGAGGTAAATCCAATCTTGCCTTCTCATTTTCCTTTGTTTTTACAGGATCATTCATGACTGTGCTAAACACATTATCAAATACATTCTTCTCTATGTGCATCACATCAAGGTTGCCTTAACAAGTTATCCTTCCAGTATGGAAGATCCCAAAATACACTTCTTTTGATCTAATTATGCTATTTTACATACCCTGCAAATTTGGTGGCCCAATCACTATCTGTGACTTTTGGAAAATCATGGATAGCTTCCCAGAGATCATGGCCAGTAAACATGTAAGGTGGTCTTTTTTCTTAATCATGTTTTATTTAAATCTATTTTTACTTTTTCTAAATGGATGATCCATTGGTAAAAACCAAAGATGACAATCGAACCAACATTGTTTTCTCCTATGTCCTAATGTGAAAGCCTCTATACTATCCATACAATAAGGACATGCTAATTTAACTTGTTTCCCCCATCCAGACAACATACCATATGCCAGAAAATCATTGATTGTCCATATTAAATGCGCTCTCATTAAAAAATTATGCTTCATAGATATATCATACGTCACAATTCCGTCTCTCCAGAAGAGCAACAAATCATCAATCAAAGGTTGCAAATAGACATCTATTTTAACTTTTGGGTTGTACGGTTCAAGTACAAGACAAGTCAAAAACATGTATGGTTTGGTCAAGCACATTTCGGGAGGGAGATTGTATGGTGTGACTATTATTGGCCAACATGAATAAGGAGAACTAGAGGCTTGAATGTAAGGTTTAAACCCATCAGTAAATAAACCTAATCTTACATTTCTTTGGTCACTAGCATAATCGGGATAAACTTCATCAAAGTGTTTCCATGCCTTTCCATCAGATGGGTGACGCAGATCATTTGGATTGCTTGTGGTCTCACGATGCCATCTCATTTGAGCTACAGATTCCTTTGAAGCATAAAGTCGTTGTAACTTAAGAATGATTGGAAAATAGAACATTCTCTTCACTGCCACATCTTTGTATTTTCACATTCCACTCTTTCGAGGAACATACGTAGTAGTCCCTCAAACTCTACATTGAGTTAAAGTGTTATCTTCTTTATAATATAATAAGCATTCATTCACACAACAATCAATTTTCTCAACCTCCAATCCCAACTTAGACACCAACTTATTCACTTGGTAATAGTTATCAGGTAAGCATTGATTTGTTGGACAAACATCGATAAGCATTTGAGTGAAAAAATACATGGCCTTTTAAGGAGCATGCCAATTAGACATGGAAACCAACAGCTTAACTGAAATAGATAGTCTGGATTCAGAAGATCCATCATAAATGGTTTGGTTTCCAGAGGTTAATACATCATAAAATTGTTGATCTTCTTCATTTGGTACTTCTCCCTCACTAACTGTTTCGTTTTCCATATTAGCATTCCCATTGGGAACATTAACAAATTGCCTCCTAGCATCATATACCATTTCATTCATTGCATCCAATTGTTCTTCATCACCCTTATTATCCCCACCATCATTTCTGCCACTACTAGAATGACCATCAAAGTCTATATTCTGAGTATCTTCTCCATGATCAGTCCATGTATAATAGTTGGGGAAAAAAAACCATTTTTGTACAAGTGATGTCTAACCTCACTAGGCGTCTTCAAGGGAATGCAGACGCATTTTTCACAAGGACACCTTATCCCTCCATCATTTAAAAAAATCTGAAATTGATTCATGGCTTTATTGACAAAATCTTCAACTCCACTAAAAAATTCATCTTTCAAACCATGCCTATTAGAATTTACTTTATTGTACATCCAACTTCAATCCATTTTTTACATAAAAACAAACATAAGTTTCTAATATTCATTTGTTTAATTGACTTATATGTTTAATCCAAAGCTACATATAATATAAGAGTAGAATGAATAGTTAGCTAGATATAGATAACTATTCATTTTTGGGTTAACTGTAGAACTCAATGAGGTACTAGTAATTTCTTAGAAAGGACCCATCATTTTCCCTCAATTTAGTTTAAACAAAATGACACGTTAAACTAAAATAAATAGTTTAAATAGTATCAATCATGATGCATGAAAATTAGTTATAATGAGTGTCATTTATGAGTTCAATAATTCCTCTTACATTAAAATACCTTTTCTCAAGATCAGAGGAATTTTCCAGTTCCTTTCTATAAAGAACCACTAGAGTTGTTATTACCAGCTCTACATCTATCAATATTAAAGATCTAAGTGCTATCATCACAAGTTGAACAATACTAATACTAATACCTTTATGATCAGTTGATTTGTGTAATTCGTTTGATTTGAAGACACGTGGATTCAGATTTAGGATGTTAATATGGTAATTTGCAAGCTAAGGTACTCATTCTCATTAATTGAAGCAAGGTAAAGTTTGCATAATAAATACAATAGAAAGGCTTTATATATAGAGTACAAGTAGAGAAGTTGGTTAATAATAAAATTAACTAACTAGTAACCAACATTCTAACAAACTTAACTAAATATGAATACTTTGGAAAAGATTTAGCTGTGCTTATTTCTTCAAAGTGTAACATCCAAAATAGAGATGATTTGAAGGGTGTTTATGTTTCTAATTTTAGAATGGATAGCAAGCTTGTTAGGAAACACAACAATAATTAGGAATTTTTCTTTCAACATATTTATCTTTTTCAAAAATCTCCTCTCGATGATATTTA